CATGGTGCAAAGACTTTCGACTTTGGGAAGCTCTAGGAGGGTGTGTCTTTGCGTCATAGGATAGCAAGCCCCGCAGAGAAACCACTCACAAGAGGAAAAGAGACGAACACCAGCACTGTCAGTGGATGTTGAGATCAATCCAGAAACAATCAGCACATCCCCAGCCTGGCAAAGCCCTGAAAGGTGTCCGGGAGATTGCAACCTGCGGTTTCAGCCTGGCGACGTGACTTGTCCGAAACACCGTGCGTGGACTTTTGTGGAGACTTTCAAACAGGGAGACCTTCTGCCAGACAGGAAAACAGCGTCCGGGAGGTCTGACTTCCCCACATACTTTTGTACACACCGAGTACGATCCGCCACGCACGAGTACACCGAATCCGCGACGAGCAAGGGCGGATCGCGTGGGTTTGTTCACACCGAATCCGCTCCGCCTGCTTTCCAGCCACAAAGGTGCTCTCATCGAAAACAAAGGGACACCTGAGGCCAAGAGAGCGACGGTAGAGCCCTTGAGGGAGGAAAAGAAAGGTCGTATTAGTAGCAGTAGCACCACAGTATATGTCCAACACATGCAACTAAGGTCACACGGCATGAGGCAGAGCTATCTAAACAACTATTGCAACTATTAGCCTGTGATACTGAAACCAGCCCCGCATGGAACTCTGGATCTGATACTACTCCGCAGACACCATACGACATCATTGAATCACTCCACACCAGCCCCACGCCTGATCTCACCTGGAAAAGCACCAGTCTTTGGACAACCCATCTTGATCCTTCAAGTCGTGGGCCCCTTTGGAAGAACTGCAGCAATCTAGTGAGACCAGGGCGGCTCGTTAGATTCCACCTCCTCACCTGATTTCTTCCGAAATTCCCTGCAGATCTGCAGGAATCTCGCTTCCTCCAAGTGACGATGCAGAAGTGTCTGGGTCCTCGAAATTCGTGAAGTCGGGCAAGGCAAAGTTGACATCTCTCCTTCCTTTCAAGGCCTTGATTGCAGTGGATTGCAGTGGATTTGATGCCACTAAATGACACAATGGCAACAGCCCTTGCCGGCCTTGCCTTCAACATCAAGCTGTTGCAGCAATAGTCTCCAGGCTGTATTGATTGGGATGCAATTCCAAACGGCAAAGACCAGCTTGTCAAATGCTCACCTATCGAGGTGACAAGAACTTGGTGCTTCACATTGCTCATCTACCCAGCACGATGAAGAAAATGTGGCAGCTTGCCAAGCCTTTCGGAATGTGTTCAATGGCAAAACGATGCCCCTCCAAGATCGCGTGCGATAGTCTGTGGACAGAACCTGATCCACAGAAAGAGAAAGAGAACGGCAGGCAGCCACGGGGGTAGGCTAAGGCCTAAAGCGACCTCGAAAGGTTCTGCCTCTCCATGCCATGAAGCAAGGCAAAACCTAGTGTCCAAACCTGGATCATGTCTAGATTTGAATCGGTAGCAAGAATGCTACTACAGTAAGGAACCAGGGCATCGCCACTAGTAAAAAAGTGCATTTCTACTATAGGAGCAAATAGCTACTAGTATATAACAAGAAGCTACTAGGAGCAAAGGGCATTACTACTAGGAGCAAGGACGCTATGCTCGGTGGAGGCCATAACAAGAAGCTACTAAAAAGAAGCTTGACCCGCCTTTCCAGGCGAAGCGTGTGCCCTGACGCAAAGGCTTAATCGCAATCGCGCAGTTGTCACCAGGATGAGCCATGGTGGCAATATCAGCCAGTAGTTGCTCCTGCTCCTGAATAGAGATCAGCCTAGGGCCTAGAACAGCCTGCTTCCTCCTACTTTGGTACACCAAACCTTCCAAAAGCATGCTCTATCAGGTCTTTGGATTCTTTGTCTCTTTCCTCCTTCTTGGCACCAGCTACATGCCAAATTACCCTGGTGAACAGAAGAATCCTTTTGAACCCCTTCGGTGTCTATATAGGTCTGGGATGAAAACCAGGACACTCCTCTCAAGCCCGATCGAAAAATAGCACCGATCGAATGACCCGATCTGCTTCGTCTCGACCACACGACAGCGACCGACCTACGTAGGTCACTCCGACCCTTCACCACATGACGGAAAGGATTCGTGCTGCCACGAATAGCTGCCGGAGACAGCCAAAGGGAGCCAAGAGTGGAAACAAGCAAAAGAACATCCACGATCCAGCCACAATAGCATGTGAAATTGAAGCCGCTCAAATGTGCGGCGATGCTGCTCAGTCCTCCGTTTCATAGGCGATATCCATACGCCGAGGCAATTTGGAGCCGTTCTGACCATATCCCGCCATCTTTGAAGGTAGGAAATACTATCTATCGGACTTGAAAGCTGTTCATTCAGCTAGCCTGCGCTGTCACATTAATTAACTTCTTAGGCTGGTGGACACAAGAAAGGGAACAGCTAGGCTATATATATAATATGTGTAGAGGTTTGATCACACCTTCATACAATGCTCTTCATAGCTACTTGGTTGCAAAAACATAGCTTTGAATCTTGAATTGAAGCAATGGCAGCTGGCCAAGCATGCACTATGTCATGCTCACTGCATATACTCTGAGCTGGCACGAGTTCTTCCTCTCGTGTGCACAAACTCATTGCTGAACAGCAGGGCCTGGCTCTTCCTTGTCCTACAGCAAAGCGTCAAACGGCCGAGTTGACCCAGACCGCGCCGGACGCAAAGACCGCTCCTTGCCATGCTGGCCACAACGCACCGTGGAAAGAATCACCACCAATCGCTCCTGGAGAGAACAACGCGGATCGGGGCAAGCGGAGCGATTGTTCAACGCCCCTCTGCAACTCGGAGGGGAAAAAGGCCCATCGCACCCCCCCAAACTAAACATCAAATCGGTTGTCTATGTATATATGTGGATCAAAAATACGGGTGACACTACCAAGGCTTTGGTCCCCAAAGGCTTTGGTCTCCACAGCCAAGGAACCGAACATATCCTCCCGTTCGGTCGGAGAGTGAGTCACGCAGCTCCTGGCCCTGAAAATGCTCGACGGTGCCCACTTCCACATCGGCAAAACGAACACCTAAGAGATCATTCGACCATGGTCGGCAAACGGAGTCATTCGACGCCTGGAAGCTTAGGATCACAAGCGCGCTTTTGTTCCAAGTGATGCGCTACTGAGCATTTTGAGGATACAAATCCAACAGATCCTCTTGACTCTACCTCGAAAATGGGCTGATCTTTTTTTGCCAATGCTCAGCTGCTCATAACTTGGTTATGATACAAAATGAGACCACAGGTCTTTGGCGTCGCATCCTTCCGCATTGCCTCTGAGCTCGGTACTGAGCGCGTCTTTAATCACCTTGACCTACAAAACACGACACTTCAGCTGTCACCGAGTGTGACACTCCTGTACTGACCGCCCCGAGAAGATCCGATAGGGCCCGCCCATCAGCTGTAGGAACTGAAGATCGGAGGGCCATCGGTTTTACCAAAACTGGTCTGTTGATTTGACCTGCCTGCCGTGCATAAGGAGTGATAATACCAATGTCGTTGGGTGACAAAAGCTTCTCCAAATCGGCTCCTGCAAGCGGTCCAAGCGAGTGGCCGAAGGGAACACCATGGACGGAGGCAACTTATGGGACGGAGGCAGCATGTCAAAGGCAAAAACATCAAAAGACATGCTTGCTTTGGATATATGCATAACTTTTCAATACGATTAAGCTGCAACTGATGGATCACTGTGTGACATTGACTCCACCATTGCTGCTCTTCAAAGGCACGTCTCAGACGGGCCCGACGAATTTGCACGCTTCCTCTACCATATCTGGCATCGCACAGCTCTTGCACATAGTGCTGCACTAGCCGAACCTGACGGAATCTCTTTCACTGATGTTGCTGAACTTGATTTGCAAACTGCTGGGATTGCAATAGTTTTCGGGGCAATCCGAGCGCGTAAACGCCTCATCTAGGTTGCACAGCGACGCTGAGCTGGAGTCGCAGCCTCAGTGTTGGCGACACGGCGTGGGAGCCTCCCAAAAGCAAACACGGAACCCAAAAAGAGACCCCATTTTTTAGCGCATGCACCCAAGCTGTTGGCTTCAAATTCACCTCTGAAAGACTGAACCACTCCACTCCTTCAGCTTGCTGTTGAACTCCTTTTCAGCCGCTCTGGGCCCAAGTTCCTGACGCTCCCTTCCAATCACGTGGTGCAAAATCACCGGCGTTTGCGTGCCTGGCAACGTGCCGGGCCGGCGCGCGACATCAAGAAAGGTGGCCTCCAGTCTACCCAACCAAGTTTGGGAATGAAAGCCCAATTCGCTTGGCAGCGGGAGTTTCCCCCCGCAGAAAAGGAGGGTCCCATCTTCAGGCTCTCATCGCGGCAACATGATTGTGCATCAATGGAGAGCCCTGCCTTGTGCATTGAAGAAAGGCATCAGCCTAGTAGCAGCACAGGTTGGTCGAGCAAAGCTCTTCTGCCTAACCCTGCCAGTCTCATCACAGAAATGACACCCTCCCTGTATGAACAGTTTCTGGCTCCCATCCAACCCGTCCTGTGAACGTTTAATGATAAAGACGGACTTTTTTGCTCCTTCAGTTGTTCTAAGGCATGAAGTTATTTGAATAAAGTTGACGGAAGTGTGGCCTAATATAATATGTATGTATATACGATTATATACGTTTGAATCAACTAAAGCAGAAAGGCTGAGCAAGGTCTTCGTTGGTGGCTTCGAAAAAGAATTGAAAAGCAAGGGGAAGTGGCGCACCTAGTCTGCAATGCTCGATCGCGATGTTCTAGCTGTCCAGAATAAAACACCTTGTCATGAACAGAATAGACGTATCTACTGGCAAATTCTGTACGCACTAGTAGCTCTCTGAACCGCAGAGGACTGGCACCTTTTTCCAACCGTTGCATCTTGAAGGATGCTGCAACTGACTACAAGCCAGCATGCCAGCCAAGTGAACAAGGCCGTTCCAGCGATGGCTTCAGTATCAAGATGCATTCTTTGATGCAAATTATGTGACTTCAAGGTCTCATCGCAAGTGCGGTCGTCCAAGTCAAGGATTCCAACATTTGTTGTTGCAGCCTTGTGGTCGAAGGCGGATATCAAGAAAAGCTTTGTGCCTAGCACATAGCATAAATAATGTACCCAGGATTTGGATGTGTCCCTTGAATTGATTTCTGATGACTGGCACCCTACTCATTGCAGGTTGTCTAACATAAAATGGGAAGACTCAAAGAAAACCTGTCGAATTTGGACCCTCAAAAGTTGCTGAGAATCTTGGAATCTTCCAGCAAGCATGTTCCAAGCAGCATGCAACTAGATATAGCAAGCCTATGTGCTGCCGCATTCCATGTGGACACGAATTTCAGCTAAGGATCCACCCAGGATGCATCCTTCACACGAAGCTGTATGAGTGTTTCTGGCACAAGGCGAAACGCATTGAAGCAGCACCTCGCTTGTCTTGTCGAAAAGGTGCGGGATGCGAAACAATACGAAAAGATGCAAAGTGTGTTTGGATATATTATATTCCATGCTCGACGTGTCCAAACGTCCATTGACTCTCAACAGAGTTGGAGATGTCAACCATTTGAGAACATCAAGTGAAGAATTCTATGCACAGGCCGTTACGTGCGTATTCAAGTCATGTCCTCCAACTGGGATTGTAAATTGGCCCAGGATGTCAGGAAGCTTGAACGGGACTTGAAGTCTGGCCAGCCTTCTCTTGGCATCGTCTAACAGAAACCTTCTCTGATGTAAAGGCTGAGACGAGATCAGATCTCTCAGCTCTAGCTCAGCATCTGCGTCTGCGTAGCTCAGACGCGTCTGGTCTTGCAAATCCAAGTTACACAGCTCACCAAGTGCGACAAGCAATAGTTGCAGTGTGAGGACAGATGCTGGAATTGCACGCACCTGAGAACGCCAACGAAAGCGCCAACGAGTCGACGATTGGACCCGCTGAGAACGCGCTGGCTATTGCAAACCAACAAGCCGGAGTCCAAGACCCTGAATCCTCCGCAGACCCACCACTACATTTTCCATGTACTGCTGGAGGCCATCGCTATTAGGTTGGAGGTCGTCGCTATTAGGTTGGAGGCCATTTCCTTCCAAAGCCGCTTGGCCTTGATGCGCAAGGCTTCCAATTGTAAGTGCTGCTGGTATAGCACTGCAGACCACAATCCCACCTTAGCTCCGCCATCCAAGTTCAGCGCAGCAGAAACTTGGAACACTGGCTGCGAAGAAAAGGGACACTTGGCTGTTCCAATGTGTAAACACGACCAATCTCTAATCAAAGGGGCAGCCGATGTCGTGTGATCCAGCACACGTCCTCAGCTCCATTTGGAGCAAGCAACGGTCAGCACAAAATGTCAGTCTTGGGGATGGAAGCAGATTAGGTGTCTCGTTCTTGCACAACACTGTGCATCGAAAAGTAAACACACAGGTACACAGTGCTTAAAACGTGATCGGTAGTGCTGTCTCCATGTGCATTCAGGAGGGTCACGTCAATCTTCTTGGGACTGCAAGGTGATGCTAGTCGATTGCACTGGTCTTACAGCTGTATGCATTATTCATGCATTGCTTTTGGACCGAAAACTTGTTCTCTCCAAGTGACATCCAAACGTCGAGATGGAGATAGGCCGTCCTGAGACTGAACAGTTCTCGAGGAAGGTGAGGTCAAGAAAGGATAAACGGAAGAGAGCAAGAGACAAAAAAGACAACAAAAGGAATAATAGGGAAAGACTGAAGAGATGATGCTGAGAGCGACCTGCCTCCGTGAAAACCAATCTTATCAAACAACTTGCTTTCGATGCATTAAAGACTGATCTGAAAAAAGGGAGGTCTCTCTCTCTCTCTCTTTCTGAAGGCGAACTCATCTTACCTGACCGGGATCGGCCTCAGTTTGGTTGGATTCCATCTGCAAGGTCTCCAGGTGCTGGAGAAGCTCCAAAGCTGTCTGGCCAAGACCAAAAACACCGCGAGCAGCGACACGTCCAAAGTAGCGACCGAATGTTTCATGGATCTTCATCCATCTTCAATCGCCCCACATCGGTCAAAAAGAGCCATGCGCCAAAAAAAATGAGAAGCTAAAACCAGAGCGCCAAACCGGCAGAAACTGAAACTGCATGGGCCCAACAAAGAAGAATGCACGTTCCTTCAGGTATCTTCAGGTCCTTGGCCGAATCTACTCGAACGATTACCGGAGCCGACCGCTCATCCGTCGAGCCGGAGCCACCGATGCGGGCTCGGTACATGAAGTAAACGGAATGGGGCCTTCAGAAAAGAACCTCCGGAAAAAAACTACTCAGCAGGGTTTCAAAACCAGTGTTAGACACCCGCTTGCTGGCGATACTTGGTGTGTTTGGTCACAAAGTAGATAGTTCAAAACAATGGGAACTGCTTGTTTGACATTAGGTTGCTGCTTGAGTGTTTCAAGCATTTTTGGTTGCAAACATGTGAAAACTAGTGTGCCGCATGGGCTTCAAGCCGCGGCTTTCTTTGACTTGCTCTCGGTCACTTGTTCAGCAGCCCATCGGATTGTTCTGTTCATGCCCTACCCCCGCTTGTTTGCCATGTTTGGCAGGCAGTAAATGCACCTTCGTGACAAATGATGCTAGAAATGCAATCAAAAGTGATAAGCATTGTTAGCACCTTCTCTCATGCTACAACAAATGCAATACTTTGCTTCAGGACTTCGAAGGCTGGCATTCGTCATCTGTGGCCTGGTTGACTGAGAAGCCGGTCAGCTCCACAATTTCCTTGGTGTCTGATTTGCTGATCAAGTCTCAATCCGACCGCGACCATGATGAACCAAACTGTTCCAGAAATCCTAAGACAAGCCCCTCTGAACCTTGCTGCCAAGTGCCGAGCGTGCAAGAGGCAGAAACAAAGCTATCAGTGCCCACATTGCTGGCGTTGCTGGTTGTGCCCGCTTCGAGTTGAACAGCTGCGGAGAATCCCCCAGCGAAGTCAAATTCAAAATCATGAGCGCCTTCGCGCAAAAAGACTCAACGTGCGATGTCCTGAAAAAGAGAATGACCCGAAAGACCCGAAAGAAACGAATCTTTCCCTTGACCCGTGCTTGATAACGCATGTGCACCTTGGAGTAGATCTCCATGATGTCGGGATGGGAACGAAAAGATTCTGTGAGGAAGAACAAGCCTTTGCTCTCACATACATCCAAAGTATCACGATTCAAAGATCCTTCCGAAGCCTGAAAGCGTCCATTCACCAAGCGTTCGATCATTGATTCATCCAGGTTTGCGGTGCGTTTGGCCAAGGACGATAGCACCAGCGGACCGAGTTGAAAGTGGTCTCCCAGAAGAATAACTCCACCAGAACCTGGAGAAGCCAATTGTATGGGAACCAGGGTCTCAGGTTCTGTGGCCTCTCCCGCTTCATCCACCAAGACGTGTGAAAACCACCCTTGGCGCACCCCTTCCTTTCGAGCAACGTTTGCAATGTGGGAGGCACAAATGCAAGTTGTAACCACGACCCTGAAAGACCGCAGTTGGGACAGTTCAGGGATCTCAAACGTGGTCCGTCCATCCTTTTGCACTGTTCTGCCATAGCTCTGGATGTCCTCAGGAACAGTCTCGACGTTTCTCCCCAGGGCATTCAGGCGCAGCATTCGACTCTCGTCAAGCCCTAGCTTGGCCAGTTTGCTGCACAATACATCGGCTCCTGTGTTGGAAGGCGCTGTTACTAATATTTGAAACCTAGAGTTTGATTGTACCAAACACCATATCAAGAATGCAGCAAGTGTGCTCTTGCCGGTACCTGGTGGCCCCCAAACAATCACCGGCATGCGGCTACGGCTCTGCATTGCTGCTCTGACTGCTCGGTGCTGTACTGAATTCAAAACCGCTGGCAGTGCTGGTTCGAAATCTACTCGGGTCGTTTCCTCCAGCGACATGCTGATGTTTTGGCTTTCCTCTCTCTCCTTGTCTGGTTCCTCGCTTAGTACCTCCTCTGCAGGTGCAGAGTCCAGTGCCTGGTGCATGGCTCGTTGTGGAAATCTGTTCGATAGGAACTCAATGGTATATGGGCCTCGAGTCTCTTCTAATTTGGTGGCAGTAGACACCAATACCTTGCCAGAGTCACTACCTGGCTGCACAAAGGCTAAGCAAACCTGCTCGCCATCCTTGCTGATCCTAATCTGCACTCCTCTTTGTAGGAATTGCTCAAATGAATGTGAGAACTGATCAAAGGTTTCTGTGAGATCCAGGTGGTACAAGCCGTTTCCCAAAGGTCTGAGCTTATCTACTGAAGTGGTCAACTGCTGTAGTTCGAAATTGGTTCGAAGCTCTTCCACCCACAGGCTTTCATGCAACTTGGCCACTCGATGCTTTCCGGGGGGTTCATCAAGGGCTATCTTGCCAATGCGCTGCTTTAAAATTGCTCTTGCCCTTGCCCAGAACGCTCGTTTCATTTCCGGAGTGACCAGCTCTTCCTTTTCGATTAAAGTGCCTTCTGCTTGGGGTGTTTGCTGTGAATCGGTGTTTGCAGCTGTGAATCGGTCTGCTTCATCTTCATTCTTTCGGATTTTACCCTCTCTCCACAGATCAAGGAGGTTCGAGTACTCTTCTGGCAGAAAGTATTGACTACCCGACAATCGAAGTGCCGGTCCCCTCCGAGGGACGGTCGGCGGATCCAAAGATTTCATCTGATTTGACAACATATCATCCTCCAAAATCACCACAGACCCTGCGCATTTCTTCTCCCAACAAAGTGTAAGAAGTCTCCGAAAATGGCTGGCTCGAACTTTGGCCAACATATGGAAAAATGCACGCCAGTGGCATGGAAATCTCTACGGCATGCTCTTTTGAGCCGAGATTGCTGTGTAGTCACAAGCCGGAAGGCAGAAATGCTCCGAAGACTAGAAAAGAGTACAAAAAAGCACACACTTCAGCGAACACGCGGCATGGTAACACGCGGCTCTCTGTTAGCATGATGTTGATAGTAAATGAATGATTATGAATGTAAAGGATGGTTTCTTTTTCGCTGATCAGTGCCGCAGTGTCTTCAGGACTCTGTGCAGTTCTCTGCCAAAGTCTCCAGAACTCCTTGGAGGTCTGCTGGCAACGCGGCAGAAGCCGTCAAAGTTTGACCATCCAGATCAGTCAAAATGATCCTCCCAACACAAAGGTTTCAGACATCTTGTGTAAAAAAGAAAATGTAAGGTGAAGGAAGACGAAACGGACGAGAAACTGTATGAAATGAAATATATACATAAAACAAACAACGACATCAGCTTTGTCATGGACTTGTGTTGGGTGGACTGGTTCAGGACCACCTACCAAAGAAAGGGATAAATTTTGAGGCAACTCCTCCGATCATAGCAAGTAGCCCACCCACGCATTCAAACTTGTGCTAATATGAAAATCGAAGCATTGAACGAAATGACAGTGACAAGACCAGCAAGAAAGTGCAAGAGTAGATAAGAAGCCAAGACTTACTTTAAAACACACAAAACGACCAAGTAGGCTGGATTCTTTCTCATTCTTCCCTTCCTCTCCTGCGACAATGCAAGAACAAGCGTGGACAACGCTTGTAAAAAGAAGGCGTTGTCAACGCGAGCTTCGCTCCATATGTTTCATCTCCCAGAAGAGGTTGCTGGATGCTGGCAAAGTGAACCCGAATCTGGTGAGTGCGTCCAGTCTCCTGGGTGCACCCAGGGACAGGCGGACACACGCAACCGCACTGACTAAGCAGACAGACATCAAACTTTCTGACCAGCTTCTGGCATCGCAAGCACCAGCTTCAGTTCACCATGGTTGGAAGCTTTGAACCGCTTCAATATCTTGTATCCTCAAGTGCTTTCGAGCCATTTGGAGCCAAGATTGCAACTCCAAGTTGAATTTCACAAACAAACATACCAAAAGCATGATTCAAAAAGAGACACAGGTCCTGTCGATGCAAAGCGACCCATGTCTGAGACCTCTGTTCTCAGTGAGTCGACACCTGTGGTTCTTAAAGGCTTTGTGATGCGGCCCACTTCGCCCACCTCTCCCAAGAAGGGGCCCTCTGCCAAGCACAAATACTCCTCATTCAAGAAAACTCTCACAGGAAGGGCCAAGACTTGTGAATTCTTGATTCCAAGAGCAAAGTTTGGGTCGATATCTGAGTGTAGCAAAAGAAAGTTGCCGCAAAATGTCTCTTCAATATGTTACACTCCCTGACACAATCCTGGAACTGAAAAAACACCTCTTTGAAGAAGATAATGGTCATCCAATGAGCCATTGTCCACTTCCGTGATTGTTTCAGGGAGTGAATTTCTTTTGTGGGGCTTTGTGTCCTTCTGCACGAGCTTTGCTGAGAACTGTGCTTGCAGCCATTGACAAGCAAGGGAGCCGTCAGGTCCAGCGGCCACAGGCACAACACCGGAGGTGGGATAATCAAGCCTGGCAAATCAGTGGAGTGTGTAGCTTATCCGTCCAACATGGGTGTGATGCAGTTTCGGTGTACTGTCACTCCGTCAAAGTTCCTCGTTGCATTCGATCAAAGCTGAGTTGAAAATTCCGTGGAGCACTGGAATCCTGCCTCGAAACAGTCTGTACCTTTCGAGCCCAAGTACTGCCAAAGGCTTGCTGCAGCAGAGTCTCAATGCTGAGTCCCGCAGGTTTGTTCAAAACCACTACACCTGGTCTTCTTTCAACGACATCAACCTCTGCTGCAACCACCAGGTTGTCATCATCCATTCCTTCGTCCATCTCACGCCACCAGCTCAGTTGTTCCCTCAACATGGACATGGCCACTTCCTTCCCACGAGCAGCCCCTACAGCCCCTGCAAGTGATCCAAACAATGTACCGTCAGGCACCATATGCAGATGTCGCACCTGTGACAAGAGCTCCAAGGAAAACCTCCAGAGACGCCGATGGCAAAGGTTTCTCTCCTTCGCCCTCTCAAAGGCTAAGGCCAGCTCCGTGAAAGTTGAGCCATCTTTCTCTTGGTTGTTCATCAAATTGAAGACATGCAATGCCTTTTCCCATTGGCTTGCCACCTGGCAAGTCCCAATGATACAGTTGTAGGTGATGACATCTGGAACTAAAGCACTTGCCTCGGAACTTAAAGTGAGAAAAAATCGACACACTGCTGATGTAATAAGAACCAAACGGTTAGAACCAAATGAGGAAAGGTACAGCGATGTGTTGCCAGAGCAGCAAAGCTCTTTCCCACTCACCACTCCTTTTACAACTCCCAATTGCCGTGTTGTAGGTGATGAGCCCTGGAGAAGCTTTTGAGTCCATCATGGTCTCGAACACACTGAAAGCCATGTCCCACCTTCACAGTGTCACAGGCACTGAAAGCGTTTGAACAAAAAAGGTATTCTCAAAGACCTCTGGGAAATCAAGACAGACCAATTCCGTGGGTTGGGAGGTCCCCTTATTAAAATACACACCCAAATGGAACGCTGTCCAAACTTGCAGCGCTCGTGTCCAATCAAAACTGTCGCCTGCTCGACTTTTCACAAGCGCTCATGGCAGCGTTAAAGGAATATTCATCGCGAGAAAGGCGAAGGTTCTGCATCTCTGCCAATAAGAGCAAGGATGCTTCCCACTGTGTCGCCTGACACAGCTCGTTTCTTTGTTCTTCCAAGGTGTTCAGACTTCCAAGGTCTTAGCTTCTTTGAGGTCCTTGTTTCAGACATGTTCGAACCTTCCTAGTAAAAAAAAGAGAGTCTGTTTCACCGTTTTTGCCTTTGAACAAGTGCTCATGGCGGCAGTCCAGCTGATGGTGTCTGGCTGCAGCTGCTCCTTTGCCACCATCGTCTCAAGGAACTCCAGGGCAGACTGCCACCTCAGCTGTCTCCCGTCGATGTCTCTCGTCTGTCACTTGTCCTCAATAGATCCTCGACAAAAAGGGACTTCGAGAAATCTGTTGCTTTCAGGTTCCAGATCAATCTTCTTGGGTGCATAGCTTTTTTGCATAGGCCCAGGCTGGCTTGCACCTTCACAAGCGCCCATTGCCGCACTGTAGCCTGAGCAGGTCGGTGCTTTAAGGCCAACTTGGAAAGAAAGAACAAAAAGAGAAGGAATTGGACTGCAATAAGTTATAAGTATATATTTCTAGTGAATTGAACAATGTCCGGTGACTCTACAGCTATGGCCCTGCGGTCATCCCTACAATGTTGGGAAGATTGAGCCAGCGAGTCTGAATTTGAATACAAGGAGCTCGAGGCCGTGCAAGGCAATCTGATCTGCATCATTTCCTGAAGAAGGGAGAGCGCTTGTCCCCACTGGCCGCCTGACGCAATCTTCGAGCTGATGAAAAGTGGATTTGGTGTCAAAACACGTGAAGTTTCAGGCCTTTCACACATGCACTGATGGCTGAGTTGTAGTTTGTGTCCTTGGAAGTGATGATTGCAACAGCAAACGAGCAGAGTCCATCAGCCAGCTGGCTAGCTGGCCCCTGTGTGGCTATACCCGATGCCTAAGTTGTCTCGCCTTTAGCTTTCCAAGGCACGGTCGGAACTAATTCAGCTGATGTCAACTCGTCCAATAGGCTAATGGACAAATGCCATTGCGCCGATCGAGCACAGGCGCTGATAGCAGAGTTGTAACAGAACCTGACAGATTCATAGCCAACAAAGGAGACTCTTACATCTGCAACACCAAACGCTGTCAAGGCTCTCATTCACTTCAACGCTGTTAGGTCGCATTCCTGGCTTCAGCTGCAGACTATTGTTTCAATTCATGACCCTGAGTCACCTGACATACCTCAATCTCAGAGTCTAAATAATGCGTGCAAGATGCCGTGCAAGAGGGCCACAGCCACTTGCCACTGGCCACTCTTGTCACAGGCGCTGATAACAGCATTGCAACAAATGGGACTTTGCTGCAAACTCCACACGCGCATTTCCTGCAGCACTTCGAGAAGGTTTTCAGCTTTTTGTGTATCTCTCATTTGGTCTTTTAGGTCTGCACAGCAACCATGGTGTTTTTGCAGTTCTGTACAAAATGGCGGAGGCTATCCAGCAAAGCAAAGCTAAGGCATCAGTGTCAAGGACATGCCGCCTTCAACAACTCCAAGGCCTCTTGCCATCCCCCAGCCACACTTCGAGAACAAGCCTGAGACCGGTCAATTAAAGAAATCCTCTCAAACAACTCCTGTATAAATTACGGTCTTCTTTGAGCCAGGACACTGCTAGCAACGCTCCGTAGTGGAATTCGTTTGGTACCGCACGAGCGCATTGGAGCGTGCGAAACACGTGCAAAGCAACATCCAGCTTGCCTGAAGCGAAGAATAGAATGGAGGCCCCTATGCATTGAAAAAACTCATGAGAGGTGCTTCAGCACAGCAAACACATATGTTGTGATAGGTGATCTTTGGTCTGAGCAAAGCTGCCAGCTTTGCCGAGTTGACCCAGCAAAGTGGTCGCCAGTCTCGGCTCAGCCTCAGACGAGAAAGACATCCAACCGTTCCAGTGGCTGGCGACGCACCACTGAGGTCGCAACGCACAACAAGTCCAAGTCGGTGGAAAGTATGTCTTGCACTTGTTGCAGCGAAGCATTCTGCTTCAGTTTTTGAAGTGATTCAAAGGCGCCAGGCATGCATTGTCAACATTGGCATATACTTTAAATTGAACCAAAACTGCAGTGGAGAATCTTCCAATGTTTCATGAGTCTCTCTTTTGCCAATATCCCACAAATGTGACACAACTGCAGTGCCCGCGCTCCAATTTCCAGGCAAAAAGGATGCACAGTGCAATCATATGACACGTGCTATATTTTTCGTTGTAGTCTTAAGACAAACAATGAGAACAAAAACAAACGGAACTCTATTCAAATTCAAGCTGGTTGGATGTGTTTACACGTGGCATTGATTCTGGCTGCACACTCCTTTGTTGCCATGTCCCTGAATGAATGTCCAAAAACCAACGTTTGCAGTGCCCCGCTGGGTGGCTTGTCTCGCTTGTCGTGAGTTGGCAATTTCTTCATATGCATCTGTTCTCTAAACTGATGAGGACTCCAGCGAACTTAAACCTCTGTTGAACCATGTTCACCTAGTCACAGGCGTTCGACACAGAGCCTGGGTAGCCAACGTTCCCTAAATTCAGGACCCAGCAAAGGTGGGCCTTCAACTGGCTGTACCTGCATCACGTGAACTGTCCGCCTTCTTTGTCGAATCTTGTTGTGTCCCCTAACCGCCTCAAAGACCGTGCTCAACAGCGGTTCAAATTGATGCAAGTCCTCGACAACGCAATGAAAACAACAGGCAACAATGGCCAAACTGAAAAAACGGCCACAAAGCAAAGTCGGAACCCGCCAAAGTTTCGTTGTTGCTGCCGAGATGAACATCGCACCATGTTTGTTGATGACTCACATTGATCTTGCGTCTCTCGTTGAACCGGGCTGGCTATTTTTCGACCCCTAAATGGTATTTTTTCAGCCGCATGTATTTTATTGAACGACTCCCACAAGGTAATTTTTCAACCTCAAATTCAAAAATTACCATGCGAGAGCGTCCAAAAGTATTGTTTCAACCGCAAAATGATTTTGTGACTTGAATTTTTTTGTTGAGCCTCAAAAAGTTTTTTGAACTGCAATTGTTTTTCGACCTCAAAAATGTATTTGTTGAACCCCAAGGAAAAGAGAGAGACACGAACGAAAAAAGAGAGAGCGAAAACTGCAGTTACATTTTTACGCAAGACCCCAACCTACCACCCTACAACTCACATTCACATGCACAAAGGACTCAAACATTCCGCATCTATTTTTCACTTCGTGTTGCTTGCAGCGTTTGGGTGCATGTTGACATCGGGTACCCAGCGATCTAACGCCATCTGTCCGCCCAATCTAGCGGGCCTCTTGACTGCTGGGTTTCCCGAAGCGGGGTTGATGTTGATGTCGTTCCTGTGACCTCAAGTTCGTTACGACTGCGATCGAACGAAACATATCGTCATTCGAGAGGGTCAGGCAACATGCAACTTCAAAAAAACACCCTTTTGCACTGCACTCCATTCAAATAGTCTTCAAATATATCATCATAGGGAAAACAAAGAGTGATATCATCTTTGTGGGTGGGTGGGGATTTCAAGAACCATGGGGGCGCGATCTACCTCGTTCTGGGGGTCACTTGAGAGGTCGTATTACATACAACTGATCAAGTGACATCGCATCCTCCCTAGCGCGTTCACTCCCTGCTGTTTTCACTGCACAAACAAGTTTGTTTCACGAAAACTGCAATTACGTTCTTACGCAAGACCCCAACCTACCACCCTACAACTCACATTCACACGCACAAGGGACTCAAACATTCCGCATCTATTTTTCACTTCGTGTTGCTTGCAGCGTTTGGGTGCATGTTGACATCGGGTACCCAGCGATCTAACGCCATCTGTCCGCCCAATCTAGCGGGCCTCTTGACTGCTGGGTTTCCCGAAGCGGGGTTGATGTTGATGTCGTTCCTGTGACCTCAAGTTCGTTACGACTGCGATCGAACGAAACATATCGTCATTCGAGAGGGTCAGGCAACATGCAACTTCAAAGACCCCCCCTTTTCATACACAAAGCTGCAGCTCTCGGCCTAATCTGCAATGTCAGGCCTGGCCCAATCCGGCAGTTTCTCCTTGCATCTCTCGCAAGGGGTCTGCATGTTCTGGGGTAGGTCTGCTGGCTCCATCGCGGCTTTTGCCACTCCTCCTGCCGCGATCCATGGCCAACCACAAGCCGTCACCCACACGACGTTGTAGCGGTCAAATCCAAAGCAGCCAAACCGGCCATGGATCAGCAGCGGAGGGGCCCAGAACAAGGACTGATCAATGCAATCTATTCCCGACTTCACACACCTCCGGCGCCAACAACAGGTCTACTCAGCATTGCCACAGCAAGGCCTCCCACAACGGGTACCACCAACCCTCAAATGCCTGCAACGCCTGCCAATGACCCAAGCATTCACACACCAACAAAGGCGGCTGCCCCCACCAAAGAAATCTACCTCCAGGAGGCAGAAGAACAGTCTGGATCAGTGGACACCGAAATTACCCAGCTTGCAGAGCAGAGAGCGATGCAAATGGTACATCGTTACCAAACACTTTCAGTCGAAATGATTGCCCGCGCAAGTGCAGAGACTGCAGGAAAGCTCGAGGCTCTGCCCCCTGTGGCGCCCCCAGTAAGCTTGTATGCTAACTTGCCGCAGGAGTGGCCCTTAGCACGCCTTAGTGTCCAATTGCGTCACATTGGGGTACTGCTTAGGGTTACCCTCTACCGCCGTGTTGCTGAGCTCAGTTTTCGAGGGGTCGACTTTTGCCAGCTGCCGCGAGAGGTCATGAAAGACATTTGCCATGACTTTGATAATATCTGTGGCGAAATGGCCAAACGACTAGCGTCGCTCTTTGCATTCCTCAAACCCGCATCGAATGTGACCAAGCACTCTGACCCTATGGGGTTGTCGCTGTATGCTGACCCAGCCTATTGGCTGTACGGCCTCCTATCCTTTTGCGCCAAAGCATGTGAGTCCAAAACAGCGGAGGCAAATGGTACCCCGGTACTGCGAGCGAGGGACGAACGGGGCACGCCAGCGACCTTGTCGCTTATGCAGACAGTGGTCATGTCCTTTGGCCGCAATCAGAGCTTGGGTAAACAGGACCTCCCCATTCATCACCTGCATGTTTACTTTCCGGTGCAGCTAGTCCACAAACTCATTGAACGCATGGACAAGCTGCGATTCACAGAAGTGACGCCAGAAGATGGAAAGAAATACAGGCACAACAGTGAAAGTGAGGCCAACAGCCCATACATTGTGGTGGGTACATACGAAGGGGTGTGTCCCTCTAGTACTTTCGCTGCCCTTCCAGACACGCCCAGACTTGCAGGGGCATATGAATATGGATTCCTTGACGGCAATCTGGGTCAAATGGCCTCCTTTCAGTCCACCTACAAAAGCACCCTTCGAATTGAAGTACCAGTGTGGCCGGAGGTACAGCAAGCAGCGCTGACTTTTTTTTTTGCACGGGTACGGGCGCTATGTGTGCCGAGAGGCACAAGTCACCTTGGATGAATTCGAAGAGTCGGATGAGAGGATACGAGCCAGAACCAAAGAGGCCAACCCACCAAGGCCCAACCACCAAAACAAACAAGCACACCCAAACAGCCCCCCAAAGGAAACCGAAACGGAGCTGGCTCATATCCGCTTGAAATGTGAGAAAAAAGTGAAGATCCAGAGATTTAACACGGAGGTGAGACGGGGCAATGAATTCAAGATCCTAGCAGCACTCAGTACAAGATGTCCATCATCGAACAGCTTCCTGCCTCATGGGTAGCTGGTGTTTCAACGAGGGGGTGTTGTGCCCTCAGTCATTGTCGAGCAAGACTGGATGCAAGTG